CTCACCTCAGCCTCCCAAAGGCGCGGGATTACAGGCTGAGCCACCGAGCCCGGCCTTATCCTCATTTTTATTCATGATTAAACTGTGGTTCGGGGAGTACATAGGTTTGCCCCAGATTGCCCAGGTAATAAGCATAGAGCTGAGAGTTGACTATTGTTTCTGACATCCAGGCAGTGGTGTTTCCATCATGATTGTCTGTAGGCTGGGGACAGAATTCCTTTGGTAGTTCATTTCTTCCTCCCTCCTTCCCTCCTTCTCTCCCTTCATCAAATATCTATTAAGTACTTGCTATGAGCCAGATTCTTTCATATGGGTTATCTAGTTTAATTCTTCAACTGTGATGGGAACCAGTTAACATTATTTTTTTAAGTTATTTTTTTGAGTCGGAGTCTCTCATTCTGTCGCCCAGGCTGGAGTGCAGTGGCACACTCATGGTCACTGCACCCTCAACCTGCTGGACTCAGGTGATCCTTCCACCTCAGCCTTCCAAGTAACTAAAACCACAGACATGTGCCACCACATCCGACTAATTTTTGTGATTTGTTGTGGAGACAGGGTCTTGCCAAGTTACCCAAGCTGGCCTCAAATTCCTGGGTTCAGGCAGTCCTCTTGCCTCAGCCTTCCAAAGTGCTGGGATTACAGGCATGTTGAGGCATGAGTCACTGTGCCTGACAGTTTTCTTTTTATATCTGACAAAATTGGCTCAGAGAAGTTAGAAAAACTCTCCCGTTTATAAGGGAGGGGTAGTATATTTGCATAATCTTTCCTTTTATGTCTGTTGCAATGCTAGGCACTTTACATTTACAACCTTCTTTTTTTTTTTTTGAGTTGGAATCTCACTCTGTCACTCAGTCTGGAGTGCAGTAGCATGCTCACGGCTATCACAGCCTTGACCTACTGGTGTCAGGTGATCCTTCTGCCTTAGTCTTCCAACCTGGAGTGCGGTGGCTCCACTGACATTGAACTCAGACAATCTTTCTGCCTCAACCTTCCAAGTAGCTGGAATTACAGGCATGCACCACCATACCTGGCTAATATTTTTGATTTATTGTAGAGATGAGATCTCGCCAAGTTGCCCAGGCTGGCCTCGAACCACTGGGCTCAGGCAATTCTCTCGCCTCAGCCTCACAAAGTACTGCTATTACAGGTGTGAGCCACTGTGCCTGGCAGTTTTCTTTCTTTCTATTTTTTTTGAGTTGGAATCTCACTCTTGTCACCCAGGCTAGAGTGCAGTGGCACGCTCACGGCTACTACAGATTTGACTTGCTGGGGGCTTAGGCAATCCTTCTGCCTCAAGCTTCCAAGTAGCCAGAACTACATATGCACGCTACCTCGCCCGGTTAGTTTTTGTGATTTATTGTAGAGAAGAGGTCTCACCAAGTTGCCCAGGCTGGTCTTGAACCCCCTTGGCTCAGGCAATCCTCTGTCTTTCGCCTCCCAAAGTGCTGGGATTACAGGCTGAGCCACCACGCCTGGCCAGTTTTCTTTTTGTATCTGACAAAATTGGTTCAGAGAAGTTAGGAAAACTCTCCCGTTTATAAAGGAGGGGTAGTATATTTGTAATCTCTCCTTTTGTGTCTGTTGCAATGCTAGGCACTTTACATTTGCAGCCTCCTTTAATTTAGGTACAGTTTTACTTATTTATTTATTTTTTTTCGAGTTGGAGTCTCACTCTGTCGCCCAGACTGGAGTGCAGTGGCCGCTCCCGGCCACCGCAGCCTCGACCTACTGGGCTCCAGCGATCCTTCCACCTCAGCCTTCCAAGCAGCCGGAATTACAGGTGCGCGCTACCACGTCCGGCTAATTTTTTGATTTTTTTTTATTGTAGAGATGAGGTCTTGCCTGCCCAGGCGGGTCTCGAACCCGCGGGCTTGGGCAATCCACTCACCTCAGCCTCCCAAAGGCGCGGGATTACAGGCTGAGCCACCAAGCCCGGCTCTATTTATTTTTAATATTTTATTTATTGATTGATTGAGTCAAAGCCTCATTCTGTCCCCCAAGCTGGAGTGTAGTGGCATGCTGATGCCACTGCAGCCTTCACCTGCTGGACTCAGTCAATCCTTTTGCCTCAACCTTCTAAGTAGCTGGAACTACAGGCATGCACTACCATACTCGGCTAATTTTTTTCATTTATTATAGAGATGAGGTCTCACTAAGTTGCCCAGACTGCCTCGAACTCCTAGGCTCAGGTAGTCCTCTCTTCTCAGTGTCCCAAAGTTCTGGGATTACAGGCTGAGCCACCGTGACTGGCAGTTTTCTTTTTATATTTGACAAAACTGACTCAGAGAAGTTAGGAAAACTCTCCCGTTTATAAAGGAGGGATAGTATATTTGTGTAGTCTTTCCTTTTATGTCTGTTGCTATGCTGGGCACTTTATATTTGCAATCTCCTTTAATTTAGGTACAGTTTTATTTATTTTTAATATTTTATTTACTTATTGATTGATTGATTGAGTCAAAATCACACTCTGTTGCTCAGTCTGGAGTGCAGTGGCATGAGTATGCACACAGCCTTGACCTGCTGGCTCAGGCAATCCTTCTGCTTCAGTCTTCCAAGTAGCTGGGACCACAGGTGTGTACTACCATAACCAGCTAATTTTTTTGATTTATTGTAGAGATGAGGTCTCGCCAAGTTGCCCAGGCTAGCCTTAAACTTCTTGGTTCAGGCATTCCTCTCGCCTCTGCCTCCCAAAGTACTGGGATTACAGGCGTGAGCCACCGTGCCCAGTGTATTTTTATCTTCATTTTTTTTTTTTTTTTTTTGTCAGAATCTCACTCTGTCACTCGAGCTATAGTGCAGTGACATGATCATGATGATCATGGCTCACAGCAGCCTTGATTATAATCAAGGTACAGTTTTATAAGAGGAGTTTTATTGTCTTTATTTTGTAGCTGAGGGGTGCAGAAAGTCTGGAATTTTAATCCAGATCTGATTGCACTGTGTGTTTTTTTCATTATATCCTACTGAGGGGATGAGGGAGAAATTATTCATATGTTCGTTCATTCATTCAGCAGACATTTTTGAGCACTAACCCTATACTATTACCTGATTAGGTGGTGGGACTAGAAAGATAGGAAGCAGTTCATTTCTGTAGAAGCTGAAAGCTGAGTCCAAGAGACTGAAAACCAGCAGTTTCAGTATTGTGACCAGAGCTATGAGAGCCATATGCAGAACTCTAAGGACAGTTGATTTCAGAGCTTTACTTGAGGGTTACCCTACCTTCTAGGTAGTGAATGTCAGAATTAACTGCATCTGACTTGGGCCAAGAGCTTTCAGAACTCTTGAGTGGCTCAGCCTATAATTCTAGCACTTTGGGAGGCCGAGGCAAGAGGACTGTCTGAGCCCGGGGGTTCAAGATCAACCTGGGCAACTTGGTGAGACCTTGTCTCTACAACAAATAAAAAAATAAGCCAGGCGTGGTAACACACCTGTAGTTCTGAAGGCTGAGGTGGAAGGATCGCCTGAGCCCAGCAGGTTGAGGCTACGGTGACTGTGAGCATGCCACTGCACTCCAGTCTGGGCGACAGAGTGAGACTCCAACTCAAAAAACAAACAAACAAACAAACAAACATCAAAACTGTGCCTCTCAAAGCCTTGTTTTTTTTTTTTCCCTCTTTGGACAGGAATTTCAAAATGAGCGTCCCTGACTATATGCAGTGTGCTGAGGACCACCAGACTCTGCTTGTGGTGGTCCAGCCTGTCGGCATCGTCTCTGAAGAGAACTTCTTCAGGATCTACAAGAGGATCTGCTCCGTGAGTCAGATCAGTGTGCGGGACTCCCAGCGAGTGCTGTACATCCGCTACCGACACCACTACCCACCAGAGAACAATGAGTGGGGTGACTTCCAGACTCACCGCAAAGTCGTGGGTCTTATCACCATCACAGACTGCTTCTCGGCCAAGGACTGGCCACAGACCTTCGAAAAGTTCCACGTGCAGAAGGAGATCTACGGCTCCACGCTGTACGACTCCCGGCTCTTTGTCTTCGGGCTACAGGGGGAGATCGCGGAGCAGCCTCGCCCCGATGTGGCCTTCTACCCCAGCTATGAGGACTGCGAGACAGTGGAGAAGAGAATCGAGGACTTCATCGAGTCGCTGTTCATTGTGCTCGAGTCCAAGCGCCTGGATAGAGCTACAGACAAGTCCGGGGATAAGATCCCCCTTCTCTGTGTCCCGTTTGAGAAAAAAGACTTTGTAGGACTGGACACAGACAGTAGGTAAGTTTACTTAGAGACTTTACCTAGAGACCCAGGTTCTTTGGCTTTCTTATGTCAGAGGATTAAGCAAATGGAATAATTTTACTGTTGTAAAGGGTAGAAAGGTGTTGTCCAGTGTTTTTTTAAAAGTCTAATGACTTTTGAAAACAGAGACAACCTACAGTTAGGGAGAATTTTTTAGGGTTGGTATGTATGCTCACATCCCTTGACTCATACCCCTTTTCTGTGGGGGTCCCCTAGTGTGGACTCCTTGGAGCTGTGTCCAGTACAGTAGCCACAGTGACGTATGACTTTTGAGCACTACAAACAAGACTAGTCAGAGTTGAGATGTGCTGTAAAGTGCATGCCAGATCTTTTTTTTTTTTTTTTTTGAGTTGGAGTTTCATTCTTTCTCCTAGGCTGGAGTGCAGTGGCACACTCACGGCCACCCCAGCGTTGACTTGCTGCTTGCTGGGCTCTGATGATCCTTCCGCCTCAGCCTTCCAAGTAGCCAAAACTACAGGTGTGCGCTACCATGCCCAGCTAATTTTTGATTTATTGTAGAGACAAGGTCTTACCAAGTTGCCCAGACTGGTCTCGAACCTGTGGGCTCAGGCAATCCACTTGCCTCAGCCTCCCAAAGTGCTGGGATTATAGGCTGAGTTGAGCCCAGCTTTGTGTGCCGGATCTTGAGACACAGTACTGAAAAGAGAATGTAAAATATATCTTGCTAATGTTTTTTACGTAGATTACATGGTTGAAATGGTAGTATTTTACATCTATTAGGTTAAATAAAATGTATCATTATTTATTTAAAAATTAAAAAAAAATAGAGATGGAGGTCTCATTATGTTGCCCAGTCTGGTCTCAAACTCCTGGTCTCAAGTGATCCTCCTACCTCAGTCTCCCAAAATTCTGGGACTATAAATGTGAGCCACTGTGCCCAGTTGAAATAAAATATATTACCCAAACCGATTTCAACTTTTTAAAAAAAAATTTTTACTTTTTAAAATGTGCCAACTGGAAGCAAAGTTACTCATGTGGCTTGTATTTAATTTCTGTTGGGCAGTGCTACCCTAGAGACAGTTTGAAAACTTTTTTTTAGTCTCATCCCTTCGATTTATGGGTGGGATGCTGATCCTGGAGAGGCCAAGACTAGGTCCTACTTGAGCTAGGAATGGAGCCCATGTCTCCTGATTCCCAGGCTGGGCACTCTACATGTGTTTAGCTACTTTCTTCTTACCTGATAGCCACAGTGCTGGATTCCTCACTCACAGAGCAGCCAAGAGGAGTGCCAGGGTGTTGGAAATACCTCCGGGGCGTTCCTAAAGAGCTGCCTTATGCACACGGAAAGAGTGTCTATTTTCAGTGTGTGCCAAGGAAAATTGGATATTGAGCAAGGAAAGGTCACTCTTCACATCTTACCTGCTATTAAGTCAAAAACAATACTTTGAATTAGATTAGCCCTTCTTTGCCACTTGCCTCCACTCTCTGCCTGCTGCTGTGTTTTACCGTATTGCCCCTGTGACTGTCCAGCAGAGGAAGATGAGATGGAAGCATCATCAACAACTGTTTGCCACAAGGTCCTCTTTTGTCAGGGAGAGTGCGGTGTGACTGTGTTGCTCCATGGCTTTGTGGCAAACAGTTGTTGGTCACTCTGAATTCCCCCCCGATCTTTGGAACTGAATGATGATCCACAAGTGAGGAGTTAGTGACATAATGTGCATGCTGGCACAGCACCTGCTTCTAAGTGGGTGCTCCGCATGTTTCTTGAATCTAGGCAAGGCCCAATAGTGAGTTTCTTTCTCATTGTTGGTAAGTCTGAAAATAAAATATTATAGAATTGAGAAAAAATAGTCCAAGTTCAACCCTGGGAGTTGGAAGCACAGAGTAGCATCAGTCACACTGGCATGTGGTGCTTTGCAGTCTGGAAGGAATTTTCGTTTCTTTACCCAAATGTGCATATTTGGCTTAAGGAAAGGGAAAGGCATGTCGTAGACCCGATCTGTGTTTATTCCACACAGCAGCCCTGTGATCTACAGGGGATCGTTCCTGTTGGCTGATGTGGGGCTGAAGCAGCAGGGTTTAGAAACCTGGCAGCCGTGAGAGTAGAGCTGAGGGATGCGCCAGGTCTGTCTTCAAAGCCCAGGGCCTTTCCACCTCACCTTCTTGCCCACTGCTGTGCCTCCCATGCTTCTTGAAGTTCCCACACTACTATCAGGCTGAGAAGGCACCCACGGTAATCATTCCTGATGCAGTTGTGCTGAGTAGAGTACACAGCTCTGTGTTTCCCATGGAATTCATTTTTATGGCCACCTGCAAGATTGGCAGCAGGTGGCTTGCCCCCACTTTACAGAGAAAGGGCTGAGCAGTTGAAGCTTCAAAGGCAGCTTAGGTTGGGAACCCTGCTCTGACCCCTTGACCAGTGCCTTCTTCTTTTGCCACGTGGGGCACTAGTGACATTTTTCATTCACTGACCAGCGAATGCCAGCTCTTTTTTTGTACCAGCGAATGCCATCTCTTTTTTGCCTTTTAAAATCGATGCTCACAATTCAGCAGGAATAATGAATGTGTGTTGGGACACTGTGCCTCACACACAGTGAATAATAAATGACAAATGCTTGCTGAGAGCCTTCATGTGCCAGGCACGGCTCTAGACACTGAAAATACAGCAGTGAATAATACTGTCCTCACGGCTATTTATTCTACTCTAGCGGGACAACCCAGTTATAAACATCTGTTATTGTTTGAACTTTAGTGACATAAATGGCACCAGTGAACTCAAGTCAAACTCATTTGCCTCTAGTAACTGTTAATCTGTTATTGTTTTCATTACTCCTTAGTTTTCTAGTTTTTGAAGCAATGATTTGGTGTAGGAACAGAGCCTTGCTCTCACCTACAACTCTTGATAGGGGTTAGAAAGTGTCCAGCCTGAAATGAGAGAGTATTTTGTAGCACAATAGGAAATGTCTAGATGTAAGTCCAGTTTCGGTTTGACACATTGACCATACTGATAAGCTCTGTGACAGATACCTCTAACTTAGTCCCAAACTTAGTTGTAGATTTCCTGGTAAACCTAGGTGCAGTGTAATGTACTTAAAAGTTCACATGCGCCCCAACTCATTAAAATCCATGGTAACTTCTTGTACATGTAGTGTTGTAGCTATTAAAATTATTTTTGTTCTTATGTGTTTCTAATTTTTGCTTGTTCCTCTTTCTTTTTCTTTTTCTTTTTCTTTTCTATCATACTGCCCTGTGAGTGTGTTGTTGGGTCTGAAAAGGTAGGCTGTGAACATATTGCATTAAAAATAGATAGATTTCCCTATGTGCTGCCTTCTCATAGCATCATCGCTTTAAAAAACAAAAACTCACTGCTGCCTAGATCCATATGTTAACTGGATAATCTTTTGTTTTTATGCTTTTAAATTTTACTTTTTTAGCACGTAACTCATTAGTGTTTGATATTTGTTAAAATACTTGCTCTGGGGGAACTTGTTTGGTATTTAGTATTTGGTGACAAATGGGCCTTTATTAATTTTTTTTTTGTTTTTAGGGAGTGAAATGCTAATTGATTTAGATGGCTGCGGAGGGATTTTTTTTCCATGGGATATCTTAACTGGGAAAGTCTAAGTGAGACTACAGTGCCTTGCTTGACCCAGGCTTTTAAGTGAATGTGTCTGGCATGTGATTCCCGGCTGTGGCTGCGTGACATGCATGAAGGTGACAGAGGACTGGCGCAGGAGTGTGCTGGTAGTGAGGGGAGCTGCGGGAGGGCGCGGCTGCCCATCTTTTCTTTTGCTTTTGTCTTGAGCATGCCATTTCCTTTTCCTTCACCTCAGTGACTTTCCCCAATAAAGGAGCAGTGGCCATTCCAAAATTGGCCCCTGTCTTTTGCCCCCTTTATGAGGGCTTAAGGGCAACTTTTCTAAGAATCAGAAAAATATGACCTCCTTGTTCACTTGGATCTTGTGGACACAAGGACCTCTATAATTGACCACCATTTCCTCTTTGCTTCTGCCAATGAGCATTCAGAGCCAGAGAGGTGGCTCACCTGTAGCTACTGTACAGGTCTTTACCTGCACCAAGCTTTCCTTTTAATCTTGTGTAGGCAAGACAGAGCTGTTTTTGCATCTGTCGGGGCTAATGTCCTTCACTGATGGCTCGTCATTCATTTGCATTACTGGGCTAACCACCAAGGTTAGCCCTGCAGGACACTCTTTGGCTGTCCTAGTCCCCTGTTTTATCTCTCTGTAGGGAAAGGTTTTCGCTCTGTGTGCTGCTGGCACCAACATGCTGCCCAGGAGACTTATTTCTTCTTTAGTGCCCTGGACCAAGTGCAAACACATTCATTCTTCATTTACTTTGTCTCAGTGTCAGTTGAGACAGGTTGGACTTTCTGAAAGATTTCATCACATCCTAAGGTGCGGGAATAAAAGAAAAATGAATGTATCAAGTACAAGAAGTCAGAGCTATCCAGGTTGGGAAATGGAGGGCAGAGGTTCTGTGATGGTGGGTTTATCCTGGGCTGCAGAGCTATTGTTGCCACCCACTGGATCTGGGATTGATGAGGAAAACCAACCTGGGTTCCTGTCCCCCTCTGCTTTCCTCTGGCAGGCATGCCGATAAGTCCATAACCCAGGAGCTCTTCTAGATTCAGGCCCTTCAGAGTTCAGTCCATGGGAGAACTTGAATCCTTGTCCTGGGCTTTCCGGTCAGCTTCCTGTGCGAGAGGCAAGTATCCTTCCTAGTGACCTGGGCCAGGAGAGACCTCTCTCGATAGTGAGTGCTCCTCCCCAGAGGTGACTCAGCACACATTTACTGGGCATTGGATGTGTGCTGTGCTCGGCACTGAGGAGCCACACTGAGATATACTTCAGAGACAGAGATGAGAAAAAGATGATGAACAGAAAGAGGAAGTCAAGTATGATGCTCAAGTTTCTGCCTTGAACTACAAGGGTATACAGTGGAGCTGTTTACTACATTGAAGGAACTGGGAGGTACACGTGGAATGTGTTTTTGCA